TAGTCTTTCTTCTTCACTTGTAACCTTACTTCTTCAGATTAGAATTAGTTTAAATTTTGGACACATGCTAAAACTAAATTATTGTCAAGATTACAGAACCTGGCCCACAATGCAGGAATTAATTAATGAAAAAGCCCATAATAAGCAATATATGTTCTCTTAAACACTTGACTATTTCAGCAATCATTCATTTTACAAATATCTACTGAACACCAATTATGTGTTCTCCAGGGATAAAAGAGGTGACTGCTATCAGTCAAAATTAAGAACCCAGCATCTCATCATGCAACCATGGTATGAGAAAATTTAAAGTTCCTTGTATTATTATTCCACACAATTGATTAGCCTAATATGTAGATTGACAATAATAACTGCCAATTAATTGTGTATTACGTACGCCAGATGCCTTACTGCTTGCTATATACACATCCCAGTCTGTAGAGTGAGGATAGTGCTTTCAAACTCACTGAGTTGTTATGGAGATTGGATGTGATTATGCATAACTAATACTTAGTTAAATTCCTGGCACCCAGTAAGTATAAGCCATGATTATACTTTGATGATTTTGCATGATTCTCACAATAACCTAGTAAAGTAGGTATTGCTACATTTCTTTTTTTTTTTTTTAATTTTATTTATTTATTCATGAGAGACATAGAGAAAGAGAGAGAGGCACAGACACAGGCAGAGGGAAAAGCCGGCTCCATTCAGGGAGCCTGACGTGGGACTTGATCCCGGGTCTCCAGGATCGCGCCTTGGGCTGAAGGCGGCGCTAAACCACTGAGCCACCCGGGCTGCCCTATTACTACTTTCTTAGAAGAGGAGGAAACTAATGTTCCAAAATCACTTTGCCAAAGAGCCTACAGCTATGTGGTGAAAGAGCCAAGATTTTTAAAGATCTTTATTGTGAAATATAACACATATACAAAAAAGTTCAAAGAACATAATTATGACACTTAACAAATTATTATAAAGGGAACATTCCATGTGACTACCACCCAGATCGAGTAATAAAATTGCCAATATGCCAGAAAGCCTTTAAGACCTTTGCCAGTCATGACTTCCTACCTCCTTCCCAAAGGTAACCAGTGACCCAACATTTATGATAGTTTTTCCCTTGCTTTTCTTTGTGCTTTTACCATCTTACTATGCACAGGAGTTTAATTTTTCCTGTCTTTGAACTTTATACAGAATCAGACAATTTGGATTCTTTTGAATAATCTGGCTTCTTAGATCTAAGATCTATACAAGTTAAGCTATAAAATTTGTTCATTTTTAATACTGTATTTCACTGTAGTCTATGCCATAAATTATCCACTCTACTTCAATGTTACTTCCAATTTTGAGGCTATTACGGATTATGCTGTTACGAATATTCTTACAGTTCTTCCTCTTCCCTTCTTTTTTTTTTCTTTTTTTTTTTTAATTACTTATTCATTTATCTATGATAGTCACACAGAGAGAGAGAGGCAGAGACACAGGCAGAGGGAGAAGCAGGCTCCATGCACCGGGAGCCTGATGTGGGACTCGATCCCGGGTCTCCAGGATCGCGCCCCGGGCCAAAGGCAGGGGCCACACCGCTGCGCCACCCAGGGATCCCGTTCCTCTTCTCTTCTTGAACAAGTTATGCCTAAAGCCATTAAGTAGTATGGAGCAGGGTAGGCTTTCATGCATAGGGTTGACTTGGCATTGGAGTACTGGGACTGAAGTGGGGATAAGGAAGGGATCTACAATGTCAGCAGGAGTGGAGGGCAAGATCCAAGGTAGGGTATGAGATCCCAAGCGAGGTGAGGAAGGTGTCCACACAGGAGCAATTTAGCGTAAGTTGTCACCCTAATGGAAAGAACATCTACATAAGGGAGGGGAGGTGTAATTTGGTGTGAAGTGTCAGCCTAAGTGGAAAGAAAAATGTTACTCTAATTGTTATTAGGGCTCCATCAGTCTGATTTCAGGCTGGTACAGGGAAAGTAGATAAGCCTGAAATATTTTGTTGTACCAGAAAACAAAAAAGTGCCTCCCAAATGAAGCCGTGTCAAAAGAATACAGAATCCAACTTAAAAGGATTCCTTTCCACTGACCACATCTAGGACAATCTGAGTATCAAAATAAATTGTGGTAATGAATCGTAAGTCATTGAATAAAATTTAATGAATAAAATAGAAAAATATGAGTTCAAACTGATAAATGAATAAATGAACTAAAAATTTAATGGGCAGGATATTTATGTACTTTATACCAACCCACAAAACAGTTATTAGTTGTTATGTTAGTTTTCACTTACAGTTGTATGACAAATCCAGAACTTAGTGGCTTCTAACAAAATATATTTTCTCAGTTTCTCTGGGTTAGGAATCCAGGAATGACTTAGCTGAGGGTTCTAACTCGTGTTCTCCCTTGTCCTGGTCAGGATGTTGCAAGGGACTGCAGTCATCCAAAGGCTTCACCAGGACTGCAAGACCTTTTTCCAGGATAGCTCATTCATGGGACTATTGGCAGGAGACCTCAGTTTCTCACTGTGTGGTCTGTTCAAGTGTCTGCATGACATGGCAGTTAGATAATCTTCAAAGTCACACTCCATTACTCTGCTTTATTCTGTTAGAAGCAAGACACTAAGTCTAAGCCCCATTCAAGATAAGGGGAATTAGGGCTCTACCTCTTGAAGTAAGGAGTATCAAAGAATTTGTGAACATTAATTTAAAACCACCACAATTGGGCAGCCCCGGTGGCACAGCGATTTAGAGCCGCCTGCAGCCCGGGGTATGATCATGGAGACCCGGGATCGAGTCCCACGTCGAGCTCCCTGCATGGAGCCTGCTTCTCCCTCTGCCTGTGACTCTGCCTTTCTCTCTCTCTCTCTCTCTCTCTCTCTCTCTCTCTCTCTCTCCGAATAAATAAATAAAATTAAAAAAAAAAGAAATGTAGTAATACCTCTCCTTAATCAGGAGTTCAAAGTGCAACAATAAGACAAATTGTAGTCTTTTGTCACCTGGTAGGAATACAGTGAGGACAGCACACTTCTGTTATATTTCTGTCAAAGATGCATGGCCAGAATCTAATCATGTAGAGATATCAGATATGGTAGTTGACCTTCAAAATGACCCCCAATGATCCCTGCCTTCTGGTATTCACACTCTTGTGTAGTTTCCTCCCACATTATACTAGGGTTGGTCTGTGTGACCATTAGAATACTGCAAAAGTGATGGTATGTCATTTCTAAACTTAGGTTATAAAAGACTGACTTCATTCTTAAGTTGTCTTGGTCACTCCCTCTGGAGAAAGCCATGTTATGAACAGCCCTATGAAGAGGACAACAGGCAGGGAATTGAAGCTTCCTGAGAGCTCTATAAGTGAGCTTAAAAGCAACTTGAAGCATGTTCTACAAATAAGCTGGCCAGGGGATGACTGGGTGGCTCAGGGTGTGATATTGGGGTCTTGAGATCAAGTCCCACATCGGGCTCCCTGCGAGGAGCCTGCTTCTCCCTCTGCCTGTGTCTCTGTCTCTCTCTCTCTGTGTCTCTCATGAATGAATAAATAAAATCTTAAAAAAAAAAAAAGAATTGTGAGTTGATAAGTCATCAGGTTGGCAACTTACAAATGGTTCAGGAAAAAAAGTTCTTTGAATGATACTTACAAATTTTCTGTAAGGTTATGATTCTTTCAAAAATTTTAAGAGCTACATAAAGGAAACCAATATTCTTACATATGTTATCTGGTATAGCTGTGCATTGATTCCGTGCTTTTGTTTTTGTTTTGAGAGTGCTTACACGATGGGGGGGTGGCTGAGAAGGGGCAGAGGAAGAGGGAGAGAGAGAATCTTAAGCAGGCTCCATACCTAGTATGGAGTTTGCCCCAAGGGTCCATCTCACAACCCTGAGATTCTGACCTAAGCCACCCAAGTGGTACTGCAGTGATTTCTATTATTATATAAATAAATACTTATAAGTAGAATTGCTGAATCATGGAGTGTGCATCTCTTCAACTATAGTAAATTTTTTTCAAAATGGTTGTACTAGTTTGCATTCATCCTCACAATGTGTGGGTGTATGTCCCTCTTGCTATGTATTCTTGCTAACATTTGCTATCATCAGTTTTTAATTTTACTCTTTCTCGTACCTGTTGCGTAGTTTCTTCAGGGTGTTTTGTTTTTTAGGTATTTATTTATTTGAGAGAGAAAGCTCACATGCAAGAGCGGGACAGGCAGAGGGAGAGGGGAAAGAGTATCAAGCAGACTCCACACTGAGCTTGGAGCCTGACTTAGGGCTCAATCTCACAACCCTGAGATCACGATCTGAATGGAAACCAAGAGCTGGACTGTATTCCATATACAATTGGTTTATTCTTAGGGTATAACTCTTCAGAGATCTAATTCTGGATAGTTTGTCTTCCTAGCTTTTTGTAAGTGAGGTTCACCCTGTTGAGTTGGGCAAACATTCCCAGCACAAAAATTCACTTAAATACAGAGGTGGCTACTTATTCTTCACCCCATTGTTAGTTCTTTGATGCCTCAAGCAGATTATTAAAAATGTTTTGACATTCTTTTCTATTTCTGAGCTATCTAGTCTGCCATTACTAGATTGGAATTAAGGAATGAAGGTTTGAACTCAGTTCTGTCTAACTTTGAAGGTCCATGTACTTATACTGCCTTGTGACTAAATCTAACACAATAAACAATTTAAAATATAAAAATATTTTTATTTTTGACCTAAAAATGTTCATATTTTTATACTTTTCTTTTTTTTTAATTATTTATTTATTTATGATAGTCACACAGAGAGAGAGAGAGAGAGAGGCAGAGACACAGGCAGAGGGAGAAGCAGGCTCCATGCACCGGGAGCCCGACGTGGGATTCGATCCCGGGTCTCCAGGATCGCGCCCTGGGGCCAAAGATAGGCGCTAAACCGCTGTGCCACCCAGGGATCCCCTTTTTATACTTTTCAAGATAGAAAATGTCAAGTCAAAATTTTAAGGCCTGTGTTCTTTTTTTTTTTTTTTCTCTGTAGTGAAGCAAATAAACAACATGTAAGATGTCAGAAATGCTTGGAATTTGGACATTGGACTTATGAATGCACCGGAAAAAGAAAATACCTGCATAGGCCTTCAAGAACAGCAGAACTAAAGAAAGCTTTAAAAGAAAAAGAAAACAGATTATTATTATTGCAACAAAGGTAAGTTGGCCTGTGGTTTCCAAAGGAGTATTATTTATTGATAGAGTTTATTCATCAACTAAATGGCTCATGGTGGTTATCCAGATTTAGATTATACTGTTAGCTAATGTCTAATGAGTGCTTACTAATGTGCCAGGCTGTGTATTAAGTTCTTATAAGTGTTAACTTGTTTAAGCATCACCTCTGTACCCTAAAGTATGTGCCATTCTCCCCATTTTACATGTGGAGAACCTGGGGCCTAGAGAAGTTGAGTTACTTGTCAGTGTCACACAGCCAGTAAGTGGGAAAATTAAGTGTTGAACCAGCCAGTCCATGCTCTTTATCACTTTGCTTTGTTGACTCAGCTGCCAGTGAAATGGCAGCAAGAATACTATAAGGTAGATGATATGAGCTGTTAGCCGTAAAGATAAAATGGCCAGTTATTTTACCAGCAAAATGGTTTATTTGGCAATAGCAGAGGAATTGCAATCCAAGACAAGCAAACTGTGGCAAGCTATAGGCAAGTCCAGAGAAAAGACAGGGGCTTGGTTTTGTTGAGGAAAAGAGGAAATTGGGAAAGGTGAGTGAGAGTTCAAGCTTCTCGTTGGATGACTGTGACAGTTTCTCATGGGCTGTTTTTATTTGCGAGGCAAGAAGAAAATTTTCCTTCCTCCTGCTGGAATAGTAAATTAAGCTTCTTCCTCCTGAGGAGCAAGGTACTGGTCTCTATGTGGGGGTCTGCACTTGTGGATGGAAGGTAGTGTGTGAGTGCTCCCCCTTCAGGGCTTCCCAAGTCCATTTTAGATACCATTCCCTTTATCTTCACAGAGCTGATCTGGAACGATATCCAAGATAAGTATCCAAGATACTTAAGACTATAAACAAAGGTAGAGAACAGAATATATATATTATATATTATATATATATATATTACATATATATAGAATATATATATGTAATATTTCTATTATTTATGTTAAAAAAAAAGGAATAATAGAATTTTTTTGGAAACAGAAATGATGTGTAATAGTGGCTCCTTTCTAGGAGAACTGGGTAGGAGAGAAACTGGAAATGTGTTATTTACTCTTTTGTGTCCTTTGAATAAAGCTTTGAATAAAGCTCTTAAAATTGCTATGAATTAAGTAAGTAAACATGTTTTAGAAACTGAAATAGGAAGGTGTCAGGTGTACTCAGTGCTGCAGATTACAAGCAGCATCTTCATGAGTACTGTAGCTATAAATAGTGTCTGAAACAGGTAGACTTGTCAGGCAGTGATCTCCCAGTTAGTGGACATGATGGCTCTTCAGAGCTTGTGCAGAAATAGACAGGTAATCAATTTTTTGGGTCATCAACATTCATATATAATTTTTCCAAAAATAAATTTATGTTAGTACTTTCCTGCTCATCCCCCTTTTCTACTTCCCTTTTCTTCATGTATAAAAATTTAGACATTTTTGAAATACTGGTGTTTGTACAAAGAAAGTAGATAGCTCTAATTATTGGGAATAAATTCTTTTGTAATTTTTTTCCCAGCAAAATTGAAGAAGGACCTAATTGAGCTACCAATTTAAAAGTATTTTTTAGGGGTGACTGGGTGGCTCAGTCAATTAAGCATCCAGCTCTTGATTTTGGCTCGAGTCATGATCTCAAGATCATGAGATCAAGCCCTGCATTGGGCTCCATAAGAGGTATAGGGCCTGCTGAAGATTTTCTCTCTCCCTCTCCCTCTCGCCCTCCCCCCCAATAATAAATAATAAATAAAAGTATTTTTTAAGATATTATTTATTTACTTATTCATGAGAGACACAGAGAGAAAAGCAGAGACATAGGCAGATGGAGAAGCAGGCTCCATGCAGGGAGCCTGATGTGGGAGTTGATCCTGGGACTCCAGGATCATGCCCTGGGCCCAAAGGTAGGCGCTAAACCTCTGAGCCACCCAGGGATTCCCAATAAAAGTATTTTTTAATGATTCATCTTTGTGACTTGTGGACCACATCATCGGAGATATTCAAACAGTGACATCACTACAACAAAACTCTATTTCCATCTATCTATTTAGGGTAAGAAGGTTTCTTAGGGTAAATCTATAAATGTTAAATACAGGAATTGAATTAATGCTGAGCATTGTCACAATCTAGCAGTAAGATCCAGAGATACATGAGCTAGAAAAACAATCAATGCATTTTAAATAAATTTACTTTGATGTGTGATAATTATTAAAATGTGTAATGTATTCCTATATTATTTTAATCAATTATATAGTAATATTAGTAATGGCAACTCAATTCAGAATTTTATTTTTTAGAAAGGGAGTAAGAGAGGGGCAGAGGGAGAGGGAGAGGCAGGTTATAACAAGAATTACTGGGCTCCATACATGCCACAAAAGACAGAGTGTTTTTCCAGTGAAAGACAGTTTGGGGGATAGCTGAAGGGTTTATCTGAGCTGTGTATGATCACTTTATTAACAGGAGCTTCCCCCTCTCCCCCTTCATGTTTATCAGCATCGGAGAAACTAATGTAGAAAGGAAGACCAAGAAAAAAAGGTATGTGTGGCTTTAGGAGTATTATGTGGATAATAAATAATACTAGTGAGAGGAATGGGAAGAATGCTTTAAAAATAATTGTGATAAAGTTTGGATCTGAAGTCTCTTGTCATTCCTGATTAAGTATCATCCTTATTTCATGATCTGTTTCTCTCTTTACCCAACTGGACCTTTCTGCCTTCACTTTTTTTTTTTCTCCAGCTTTCCAGAGGCTTTCTCCCTGGAAATAGTAAATAATTTCTCTTAAAAATCTCTTATATTAGAATAGGAAATATTATTAGACTGGTAAGAAATTGTTGACCAGCTATATCTGATTCAAAGTAAAGATGTTGAAACACTTACCATGCTACCTGAGGTTTAAGAAAGCCCAGTTGTTACACTGCAACTTTATTCTAACATTATTCTTCCTGGATCATAGTACAGTAGGAGTACTTATCTTGAATTCTGTCCAAGAAAGTTAAAGTGCCAAAGTAAAGGACATTGGTGGTTGCCACGGGATTTCTACAGTTATGCAATCCCCAGCACTTCAGGTCTAGTGATTCCATGCTAGCAGAGCTTCAGTGTATGCAATCGCTGCCCCGTGAAATTGCTCTCCAACAATCTGTTAGGTGTCAGCTTCCCGTGCATGTAACTCCTCACTGTCTACTAGGTCTAAGAGTGTAACCAGTTCCAGCAGCAGTAGCAGCGACAGTTCAGCCAGTGATTCTTCATCGGAGAGTGAAGAAACGTCTACCTCATCCTCCTCAGAGGACAGCGACACTGATGAAAGCTCCTCCAGTTCCTCATCTTCATCCTCCTCCACAAGCTCTTCCTCGTCCTCTGATTCAGACTCAGATTCCAGCTCTTCCAGTAGCAGCACCAGCACAGAGAGCAGCTCTGAGGATGAACCACCAAAGAAGAAGAAAAAGAAATAGAACGCCATCTCTCTTGTACTGCTGGACTCAAAAAATTAATGTGACTCTCGAAAGGGATATTTAGACTACATTAAGGCCATATAGGGTAACCAGTCAAAATTACTGGAGTTCAAAAGTTTCTAAATGTTTTACATCAGAAGAGCATAAAGAGTATTAATAATGGATTATATATAAGACTTTTTTTATTTTAAGAGTAAATCTTGTTTTTCTTTTTTATCTTTAATATATATCTCTAAAACTTAATCAAAGCTGAATCCAGTAAATCTGTTTTGGGGATGAGACTTATCTTTTCTCCCTGTGAGATAATTGCCATCCTTTGTTATATGTTAGTGCTATGTACCAGACATATTTTCAGGATAATGCATCAGAATATCTGGCAGTGAATTTCTAATGCTTTTGGCTGTGTGTTATTATATTAGATTTAATACATTGTTACTATAAAATTAGGAGTGTTCCTCTTAATAACTGTGCCCTATTTTTATGTTTATGTTCAGAAAGTTATTCTGACTTCTTGTCCTAAATGAAAAGCTTTTGGATGGTACAAATGTCAAGTTATTGTGTTATATCATCCATTTTCTTCTGGCTCTTAGAGTTACTCTCTCTTTTTTTTTTTTTTTTTAAGTTCGTGCTGGGCTCGAACTCACAACCCTGTGATCAAGACTTGAGATCAAGAGTCAAATGCTTAACTGAATGAACCACCCAGGTATCCTGTAAAGTTACTCTTTTTCTGAGGAAAATCAATCAGAAGAACCTAAAAAGGAACCAAAATTCTGAAACTACTTAGGAGCCTAATCTTGGTGCCTTTTGATAAATTCTGTGTATTAGAAAAGAGTCATTTAAAAGCCTAATTTAAGGAAAAGTGATATAAGTATCTTCATGTTGTTATGCTATAAAAGGTAGGAGAGGAAAAAATAGGTACAAAGGTAATTTTAACAGAGAATTAGGGCAATGTTGGTTGCCTTTTATTAAGTTTTTCTAAGCTTTCATAAGGATTGCCTTTTACCATTTTTGCAATTGTGGTATAAGTTTATATGGCAGCTGGTCATATATGACATTCTACTGCATAAATATGAATGACTTGGACTAATCTGGTGTGTTTACATAGCATATACACAGTTGAAGTGTAGCATGAAAGATTAAAAAGAAATATTGCACAATGTTTCTTAAAATACTCTGCTGTGGTGAAATTATTTTGTTTCACATGACATCATTCTGTGATGTCTTTTAAGCTCTTTGGAAAGAGGTATCATTTGTAGAAAAATCTTGATTCGGGCTAAATATGGGTTTTTAAAACTATGAATGTTGTCTTTTTATATTTTTATGAGAAAGTAGTAGAAAATTGTTTTTGAAAAAAATGGGCTTCTATTTAAATGTTAAAATATGTGTAACAAATGTTGTAAGTTTAAGGAGCCTGTAATTCCTTGTATGTTTTATAAACCCTCTGCTTTCAGTGATTGTAAATAAACTCTCAAAACATCATTTCAGAGTCTCCATACAGAAGACATCAACTGACATAGATTTAATAAATAATTAAACATATTTTACAATGTTGGTCATCTCTCCGTAAGGGCATTTTTAGCAGTTAAAGAACATAGAATAGAAAAGTGTACAGAGGTTGCAACACTTGCAATTGAATAAAACTCATCATTAGTACTTATAAGCTTAAGTATCTATTATCTCTTTGCTGTTTTAATACGAGCTCTTATTCATTTTGAGGGTAAGGACATTTAAGTAAATTCTAATTATTTTTACTATTTAACTATTACAACTTTGTCTCTGGAGAAGGGCAGGAGGTAGGAATTCTCTTCTTTTCTAGTCACACACAGTTCAGTCATAACAGAATCAGTGGCAAAGTAGAGCTAATTCGAAAGTTTCCCCTTATCCTGCCAAAAAGTAAAGATGCAGAACTTGAGTGCCTGGCAAATGTATTAAATATATTATTTCTCAACCACAACTAAATCAAGAAAAGTCATTAGATCATAGGTTTTCATTCCAAAACATGTCAGGAGTACTTTATCCTGGAATTAAACTACGGTTGTAGGGGGACACCTGGGTGGCTCAGTGGGTGAGCGTCTGCCCTCAACTCAGGGTGTGATCCCAGGGTCTTAGGATCGAGTCCTGCATCGGACTCCCTGCAGGGTTCTCCCCCTGCCTATGTCTCTGCCTCTGTTAGTGTCTCTCATGAATAAATAAATAAAATCTTTTAAAAAATAAAATAAAATATGGTTGTAGGCCACATGTTAGCCCTTATAATAGGGAAAAAGTGCAAACAAGGTATACTTCATAGTTTTACTTATTCTTTTAAATTTATTTCAAACTGATTGTAGATTTGCAGAAAAATTGCAAAAATGTTGCTGTTTCCATATATCCCTCACCCTGCTTCCCCTTATGTTAGCCTCATCCATAAGCATAGTTCCCATTAATATCCTTCTTCTGTTCCAGAATATCACTCAGAATATAACGGTTGCTTGTAACTCTGCTACTGTCTGTAACAGTTCCTTAGTCTTTCATGCTCTTATCACTTTGAAAGAGTATTAATCAGTTTTTTTGTCTGATGTCCCTCAATTTGGGTTTATTTGATGTTTTCTTGTGATTGAACTGAGGTCATACTTTTTGGAAGAGTATGACCTCAATGAAGCTATGTTCTCCATCCATCCTATCACCGGATGCCTAGTGTCTATGTCTTATATATTATTGGTGATGTTGACCTTGATTACTTGCTTAAGGTGGTTTGTCAGATTTCTCCATTGTAAAGTTCCCTTTTTACTGAATAGATACTTTGGGACTATGTGAATTGTTGCTTCAGACTCATCCACTAGTTTTAGTGGGTCTTGTCTATAATTATTACTGTGATGTTTTGCAAGTGGTGATTTTCTATTTCCCTATCTCCTTCTACACTAATTGGAATTCTATAAGGTAGAGCTATCTCTTTCCCCCCATTTTAAATTTATTTTATTTTCTAAGATGTTATTTGTTTATTTGAGAGAGAGCACAGGTGCAAGAGAGAGCAAGGGGGAGGGTGCAGAGGAAGAGGGAGAAACAGACTCCCTTCTGAACAGGGAGCCTGATAGGACCTCCATCCTAGGACCCTGGGATCAAGACCTGAGCCAAAGGCAGACACTTAACCAACTGAGACACCCAGGTGCCCTTCTTCTCCCCCATTTTTTAATCTTAATTTTTTGGAGATGGAATTAACTTTATTTTTTTTAAAGGATTTACTTATTTATTTGAGAAGAGACGGGCTGAGGGAGAGCGAGAATCTCCAGCAGACTCCACGGGCTGAGCACAGAGCCCTAGAAGGGGCTCAGTCCCATGACCTGAGATCATGACTTGAGCTGAAATCAGGAGTTGGCATTTAACTGACTGAGCCACCCAGGCGCCCCTGCAATTGGCTTTATTAAGCAATTTGTGAATTGGTTAGCATCCCATCAAGGAAGTAGAGAGATGCTCTTCCCCTATTTATCTAACTGATTATTTATACTATGGATTCAGAAGTTTATTTTGTCCTCTGAGTTAAAGTCCAATAATATCACCATTTCTTTTGTTGCTCAAATTGTTCCACCTCTGGCTATGAGGAGAGCCCCTTCAGGATAACTTCTTCTTTCAACAAATCCTCATCGGGCATTTTGTTTGTTCTTAGCATGTCCTTACTTTCTGGAACCACAATATGTTCCAGGTTTCATGTTCCAGGTTCACATCTCCCTGATGCATCTTTGGAACCAACCACATCTCCAAGGGACCTGCCCTGGTTTTTAACTGAAGAATGGTGTTTACAATCCATGATGTGGGTGTTGTCTTACTATATTTTATGCATTTTGAGTACTAGTGTTCTAGCATAGTGAGACAAGGCATGGAACCTTTCCATTAGCTGGAAGAAAGAAGGAGTTATCACCTTCAACCTTTCTTATCTACCTACCTTTACTTTTATACGACTTCCTCAGAAGCAATGCTTTCTCTAACAAACAGATGGGCGAGGCAGTCTTTAATTAAAAATTGTTCTTGAGGTGCCTGGGTGGCTCAGTTGGTTAGGCGACCAGCTCTTGATTTCAGCTCAGGTTATGATCTCAGGGTCATGGGAATGAGCCGAGTCAGGCTCCACATTCAGCATGGAGTCTTCTTAAGATCTCTCTCTGCCCTTCCCCCATGCCATGCTCTAATTAAGAAAGTAAATAAGTAAATATGTTTTAAAATTTAAGAGGGAGAATGTGCGAGGTGGGAGATCACAGAGGGAGAGGAAAAGAGAGAATCTCAAGCAAACTTCCCACTGAGCATAGAGCCAGGTGCAAGGCTTGATCTGAAGACCCTGAGATGACACCCTGAGCTTAAATCAAAATAAAATATTTTTTTTAAAAACTTATTATGGCCTCCTTTCCCCTACTATATATAAATTCAGAATGGGCCAAGTAGCCATTTTTTGAAACCAGATTGAGTTGTTGACAAAAACAAATATTGTGTCTACCTATGACCATACTGCCATAACTTGGATTAGGGTGGCTTAATTGAAAGAAGTTGGCCCAGAGATGCCTGAGTGGCTCAGCGGTTGAGTGTCTGCCTTCAGCCCAGGGCATGATCCTGGAGTCTTGGGATCGAGTCCCACATCAGGCTCCCTGAATGGAGCCTGCTTCTTCCTCTGCCTGTATCTCTGCCTCTCTCTGTGTGTCTTTCATGAATGAATAAATAAATAAGTCTTTAAAAAAAAAAAGTTGGCCCAGAGTACTATTTCCAATTGTATTTTTGGATGCTGCCCTGCAGGTTTTCACACCCTGGGCAAATTGTGCCATAAAAAGATTTAGATGTACACATGCATGAGTGTATGTAATAAAGAGGGAGAGGTGCATCTTTAAAGAGGAAAAGAGAAAGCAAAGCCAATATGATACCTGGGCTGCAGACATTCCTAGATGAATTTTAGGAGGGGATACGGGGGAGGTTGAAGACCTAAAAATTGCCATTGTTCTTGACAAGTACCCTGAGGGGTACCTGTGCTTGCTCTTAGTCTGTAATATCAACCATAACCATGAGTAGAACACCTGTTTAGAAGGTACTGTACAATAATGTATAGATAACACTTCAACACTGGTTTCCTTGGAGCTCACTATCTCACTGGGGAGACCAGGCACACACGGAAATGTGAACAATGAAGGGGACTTTGAGTGAAACCTGACAAATTGAACCCATGTGTTTGTTACCATTCCTCCTGAAATCCAACCAAAATGGCAGAAAAAAAACATAAACCCATAAGGCAAAGAGAAAAGAACAAGAGGTGAAACATGAGAAATGACAACTATTTCAGAAACTCTAAAGTTGATGGAACAGTGGGTGCTGATACAAGGCCAAAGCATGTGCTAGCAGTGAGGGAAAAGCAATAGGAAGAAGCCAGTTTGTGCCACAGAACTCTAGAAATGTCCCAAACTTGGCACCATATGCTTGTTCAGCAAGGTTCAGGGAAGGCTTAAAGACAAAAAGACTGGAAGAAAGTTTATGTAAGAATCTGCACCTTTGGGGCGGGGCCTGGGTGGCTTAGCCAGTTAAGCATCTGCATTGGGCTCAGGTCATAATTCCAGGGTCCTGGGATCGAACCCAGCAGGGAGCCTGATTCTCTGTTTCTCCCTCTGGTGCTTGCCATGTTTGTTCTCTCTCTCTTCCCTTTTCTCAAGTAAATAAATAAAATCTTTAAGAAAAAAAAACAATCTGCACCTCTGTACACAACTCTTCTGTTTATGCTGTATTAGTGATTTGTTTCATATATAACCCCTTTACTGCAAGATTTTACGAAAAAATGGCAATGAGCACCTGTGTTTAACCTGCCCTGATTAAGAAGCATTATGTTAATTTGAAATTAAATAAAGACAGGGCACCTGGTGGCTCAGTTGGTTAAGCCTCTGCCTTTGCTCAGGTCATGATCCCGGGGTCCTGGGATCAAGCCCCTTGTTGGGCTCCCTGCTTGGTGTGGAGCCTGCTTCTCCCTCTCCCTCTGGCCCTCCTCCCTGATCATGCTCTCTCTCTTATAAATAAAATATTTTTAAAAATAAATAAATAGAATAAAAAGATGGTTTCTGTACTAGGCAAATCCATTATAAAATCCAGGATCACAAAGCATGTAAGCCAACGCCATTAGATATTTGCACAATCCCTAACTAGTTAGCTATCCTAAAGGGAATCATGGGTATTTGGACAAAGGAGAAAACACTCATTCATGCAAAATTTAACAGCTATTACTAAATACCCTGTCTGTCCTTCAAGAATTCACAGGCTATTAATAAACAAGTATAGATATTGCTTAAGTAATACAAAGAAGTTGATAGAGAGCTTAGAGTCTGAAACAATTGCTAGGAAAGTTTGGATTAGCCTTTCACAGGAGGTATATTTGAGTGAGAAAAAATTGGTGGGCATGGCTAGAATCCTGTTTGTGTGGGACACCAGCAGGTTCAGGCTACAAAGGGGAGAAAGGGATTGCTATATTCCCAAGGCTATTACATGTCAGGGTATTATAAAAATTGTATTTTATCTGGGAAACAACAGGAGAGCCTCACATTCAAAAA